GTAGCAGCTATATGCTACCTATGAAATATCTCAAATACAACAATGAAAGTAGATTGAAAATGAAGGCAAAAAGACAAAATGCGCAGACATGAACCAAAATAAAGTAGGAGTGGCTATATTAATGTTGGGGGGGTGGGAAGCAGGAAGCAGTGAATCACATCAAAGTAAATTACCAGAGAGATACTGCAGAATGATCTGAGGGTCCTCTACCAAGACAGGACAGAATTTTAATTCTTTATATAGACATCTAGGACTCTCGTGAAGCCAAAATAATGGAACCAAAGGAAAAAGCAATAGTTATAATTGGAGATTAAGATCTCCTCAACCATTTATAAAACTAAAGAAAAGTCAGTAAGGATATTGCTTAACACCATAAATCAGTAGTACCTCACATTTTTAGGACACTCCAACATTCCTGGAGTGAGCATTTGGCCAGCAGTTAAGAAAACTCATATTCCAGACTTATTCCATCCATTTCCATCTTCCCTGTACTGCTGTACATCCTGATAGTTGTGGTTCAATTAGCTTATGCCTGCCATTTACATGGCAAACCCAAAACTGAGGTCGTCACTTCAAGCTTGAGCTTCGCATAGTCCTGGCTCTTGCAAGCATCTAGGGAGTGAGGCAGCAGATGCAAATGTCTTTCAAATTAAAAAAATAATAAAAAAAATGTTGTCAAGAGGATAGGGTATAAAGATAAGCAGAAACTTTGAATATTTAAGGCATTGTAAGCCGTAGCCTAGAATTTTAGTATTTTCTTAATGGAAAAAATTATAAACTGGAATATAAAGAAGAGATTATGTTGGGATGGGGAACATGACCAGAAGCAGTTATTGTCAATAGGCTTCTGCAGTCATTGGATAACTAACAGAAGCAGGAGGCATGAAAACACAGACAATACAATGCCAAAGTTTACAACTTGCTGGATGAAAACAAACGAAAAAGCATCTACACATATAGAAACATCCAGAAACTCAGTGACTGGAAGCACAGTTTTGACAGTGCTCCTTGTGTCTGCCTCCCATTCTTGACCCCAGAACTTACCTGTACAGAGGCTCGTGCACACGCGACACCTCCGGGAGAGGATTTGCTAAGGGGCCAGCAGTGACAGTTGTCTCAAGAGAAATCTGGGAAGATCCCAGCCAACTGTCTCCTACTTCAAGACAGGACAAACCACCCCACCCTCAGCTTTGTATGAGGTGAAGTTTTCAGTGCCAGAACAGCTGGCTTTCCTGCAGAGGGTTGTGTCTACTGAAGAATAATTTCATAAGATTGAAAAAATTCTATGTCCAAAGTTCTACTGCCCCTGAGCACAAGAGTATTCAAAGCAGAATTAAGCCAGCTTGCCCCTGTGCCATTAATTTCCTGTATCCAAAACCACCTAAAAGTCTAAACTAGGCAAGAAACCCTGGTTGCAGAGGGAAAATTCAAATAATAAGACATGGTGCAATTGTGGAAGGATGAAGCTTTAAAAAAGAGGCTAGAGACAAAAGAAATGAAATTTTGAAGTAGGAGGAAGCCTGGCAAGAGTGGAGGAGGTTGGAGACAAACAGAATCAAAACAGTCCCTTTGTTTCAACTGGAGATTAATAGAAATTGCTGAGTAATAGTAAGGGCCCAGCCGAGAACAAACAGCATGAGCAGGAATGTATCCAACCAACAAGTTCTTAAGAATTTTCTAACTAGAAAAACCAAAGTTGGGAGAGTCATGCTGTTTTAGGCAAATAAAGTTGGATTGTGTAATCTCCCTGCCTGACATTTTGCAAAAGCAACTCCAAAGACAAGCAAAGCCAAAATTCACCAGCAGCAAACTAAAGGGCGTTTTCTCATTGCATAAAACAAAGACAAAGGAGAAGCAGCAGCAGCCTAAAGAATTCTCACTGCTATCGTCAGATCTCTGGACAAAAACTGCAGAGTCATTTCAGCCTTTCTGTTAAGCGCTGGGGTAAGCACAAGCCAGAACAAATGGTGGGAAAGACAGACAAGCAGACAGGACAAAGAAGTGACCAAGAAGCGTTCTCAGGTAGGACAGCCTTCAGGAATCCATTATAATTTGAAAGTAGAATGATCTAAAACCTCATAATAAGAGAAAACGAATAACGAATTTACGGCCAATTTTACTGCACAAAAGACATGAACAACAGGATAGTTAACAAAAACCCAAAGACCACAGCTTGTTTTTCACACCTTAGGAGGTTTCATCCAGCACCAATGGATCTGCCCTCCTAATACCTAGTACCATTAGGCTCTGCGAAAGTAGATTAAATGCAATTTGAAAGCCCAGCAAGACACACAAATAGGGGCTGGTGCCTTGGAACAGCATACCAAGCCTCAGTCTGCAGTGCCACCACCCCATATGGGTGCCAGTTCAAGTTCTGGCTGCTCTGTGCTAAATATATCTGGAAAAACAGCAGAAAAAAGCCCAAGTGCTCAGGTCCCTGCCCCCATGTGAGAAATGTGGAAGAAGCTCCTGGCTTCAAGTAGGTCCAGGTCCCACCATTTTAGCCATATGGACAGCGAATCAGGGGAAGGAACGTGTCTCTCCTCTCTATAACCCTGCCTTTCAAATGAATTTTTAAAGGATAAATAGATTCTTTTTAAAGATTTTTATTATTTTTTTTTATTGGAAAGGCAGATATACAGAGAGGAGAGACAGAGAGGAAGATCTTCCATCCGATGATTCACTCCCCAAGTGAACACAACGCCCGATGCTATGCCGGTCCGAAGCCAGGAGCCTCTTCCAGGTCTCCCACGTGGATGCAGGGTCCCAAAGCTTTGGGCCGTCCTCGACTGCTTTCCCAGGCCACAGGCAGGGAGCTGGAAGGGAAGTGGGGCTGCCGGGATTAGAACTGGCGCCCATATGGGATCCCGGGCGTGCAAGGCAAGGACTTTAACCACTTGCGCCACTGTGCTGGGCCTGATAAATAGATTTTTTTAATGAGAATACAAGTCATTAACACTATAGTAAAATTCTGGACAGTTGTTCACATTAAGTGAGAATGTAGCAAGCATGGTAACTATGATAGCAGTACAACAATGAAAAATTAATGCAAGATAGAAAAGAAGCAAATGAAGAAAAAAATCATAACCCAGAAACCAGAAAAACTTTTTGACTTGTACCAAAAAAAATGTGTAATAGGAATATTGATTCAAACATTCAGAAACAGGTCATTGATGTAGAACTAAATGCCAGGGTAGACTACAAGAGAAAACCATTAATAAAAGTCCAAAGTAACATCATTGTGGAATTAATAAAGTAGAAACAAGAAATCAGTTTAGGCAAGCCCAAGAATTAAACTGACGAAAGCTTTACAACAATCATGCTTTTAAAGAAAAAAATACTACAGGAACAGAAATACCAAAGACCAAGAAAGAATCCAGCATAAAAACAGGTGTCTCTGAAAAAGACGAATTTTTAAAAGTACTCAGATCAGAAAGGCACATGATGTTTTAAAAGAAAAAATAAAAACCTCTGATGCAAGAAAAATTGTCAGAAACATGTACTTTAAGAGAATGGATTTTTCAGGCTGGAAGACAAAGGAAATCAAGAAGAGTAAACGCATCCATGTAAGTGACAGGAACTTCTGGAAATAAACTTGCTTTAGATTTTCCTGCAGTCATCTGTAAGGGCAGAAACAGTCTATTCATGTGTTCATATACTATCCGTTAAATGGATAATGCAAAAAAGCATGAACATGTAGTTCTTCAACCACAGAAGGATTCAAAGTCTGAAGCACAAATGAATTCACAGAATGTAGAACTTACGAGCCCTTTCTGGAAAACATTAACAATAAAATTCAAATAACCGAAGAACAAAATACATTTCCCATATAGAAAATTTTGGTGAACATCAGATCGTCTTAAATTGAGGACTATCAACAAAAACTATAATAGTTGTTTCAGGCCAAAATGTAACTCGTAAATCTCAATGTTAAAAATGAATGGGAAAGAAGAAATGATGAAAAAGTCAAACTGCTGATTGTTACAGTTGACACTGCAACAGGTCAGCAATAGTCCATGAAATTGGGGAGAAATATTTAAGCCCAATTTCAAACTGATGTTTTAATGCTTGGTAAAACTTATTGGTGGCCAAAAACCTTAGATGTTTCAGCAATTCTTTCAGTTCACTTTCTGTGCTTTCATTTTCTTTCAGTTCACTTTCTTGCTCTTCAGCAAAGAGCAAATAAACTTAAGATATTTAGTGAGTAGCTCCTCTAGTTATTTCTGATCAAACTGTTCTGCATGCCAACTCATATCTATATAAGTAGGACAACTGGAAAGATGGACACTATTTCATATTAAAAATGGTCATTTCTGCACATGTGGTAGGGACTTTGATTTTCTTGAAGCCAGGATTTTCTGTTTAGCTTGAATTCTTATGTTCACTATATTCTATATAATGTTTTTTATTTTTTATGAATATTCACTTTTATGTGATAATCATGAGTCAATATATTTATCCAGAGTCTTTGAAATAAACCGAATCTTTCCAAAGATACTCTTCGGAATATGAAGTTCCTGTCTAACTTTCAGAAAGTTCTTATTGGACTTATAAAATGAACCAGTTATGGAAGGTAAAAAAAAGCGCAAAGCAACACTATTACATCATCAGCAATATTCATCCATAAATCAAGGCCTATGTTAAAATTTAAAAAGGCGAATGATGAAACACAAACTTAAAATGCTCCTGCAACAAACTGAACTAGAACCATATTAAAAACACAGTATGTTTATTTAAATTGTTACTTTTCATATAATTCATTACATCTTATGACAGGTCAGAATCTTCATTCTATTACTAGTTAAGAATTACATAAAATGCCACACATACAATTAAGGATTAAAAGTACAGCTAAGAACAGAATCATCATCTGAGAGGATTCATAACCATATACCTCAGTCCTGAAGTTGATTTTTTTTTTCCTGTTTCAATGTGCCTCTCCATTTCAGACTCATTTTCATTTTGAGAAAATAAAGCAACTCCTTGAGCACTCTCCCACCACATGCCTAGCCACTGCCTTAGCGGTGCGTGTTGACCCAGTGGTACCTGTCCACCCGGTGCATGGCAGCAGACCTGTAGTACTTGGGGTTCTTACGTGCAGTGTGATACGTACTTCCCAGAAGGCCCACATGGCCGTGTGCCACATTTTTTTTGTGGGACATCTGGAACCAAGACGGAAAGTTTTCAACCTGAGAAAAATGGAAGAAAAGTATGAAAATTTTCAGTAAACCTATTGAAGTAGCTCTCGGGAAGTATGAACCTGTAACTCAGGAGCAACAGCTTTTCGAAAGCATGCTAAGTTAAGTGCGTATTGACAGTTGACACCAGATGTTCCACTTTGTCCTACACTTACAATGCCTTGATACACTTAAATGGTGTGTGAAACTTGTAACTGTTACTAAAGAACTACATTAACTTGATGATAATGGGTAAGCGGCAGGAGAAGAAAATGAGGGGGGGAAAAAGGAAAGGGGAGGGAAGAATACACATATCTAAAAAACTGTATCATGGAAAATAACAAAAAAAAGTTTAAAAGCATATAAAGTACAAAAATAAAAAGAGCATCTTTTGGAAAAGTGGCCAGCATCTAGTGGATAAAAAATCAGTTTATACTTTTTTTATTTTAGAAAAATAGTTTTGAGAGGCAAATTTTAAATAGAAGGAGAGAGAGAGATCTTCCTTCTTCTGCTTTACTCCCTAAATGGCCACCGCAGCTAGAGCTGAGGCAATCCAAAGCCAAGACCCAGGAGCTTTTTCTGGGTCCCCCCCCAAGGAAGCAGAGGCCCAAGGGCCTGAGCCATCCTCCATTTTCTCAGGCCATGGACAGGGAGCTGGACTGGAAGTGGAACAGTTGGGACTTGATTCGGTGCCCATATGAGATGTTGACTCTGTAGGCAGAGGATTACTGTGCTAAGCTACTGTGCTAGTCCCCACTTTATATCCTTTAAAATTCTTTTTTCTAACTATTGGCATCAAATGTCCTCAACAAGGTCTCTGAGGCCAAGGCCTAGAAATGTCCATTTTGACATCCTCAATGAGTGATATTTCATACATCATACCTTAGAAATCCTGCTGTAGCAGAAATCAGCTGTTTTTAGATCAAATTTCTCAATGGGAGACTTTTCTAAGAAAAAAAAAAAAGGCACTACTACTTCAGTATATAAACTGTAATTCTTAAGTTTAAATAAACTAGATGGAACCACAAATCTTTAGAAATCCAAGAAGATACAACAAATATAACAAAGATATAACAAAGATATAACAATAACAAAGATAAGTCTGATCTACAAATGGCCTTTAATACTACCTTAGGACTTTAAATAAATGGGTCAGTGGGCAGTGTCATAGTGTAGTGGAGAAAGCTGCCACCTACAATGCCAACATTCTATATCGATACCAGTTCAAGTCCTGGCTGCCCTACCTCCCGCCCAACTGCCCAATATGCCTGGGAAGTCAGCAGAAGCTATAATGTAAATCTAAAATATTTGATTTCATTAATACCCTTTGTTGATAACTTGATAAAAATGGCATTAATTTTTCTAAGATATATTTTGTCATTTGAAAGGCTGGGTTACAGAGAGGAGGGTGAGAGAGATACCTTCAATTTGTTGGTTCACTCTACAAATGGCCCCAGAGTCATAACCAGGTGGGAAACTAGAAAGCAGCAGCTTCTTCCACGTTTCCTACATTGGTATAGAGATCCAAGAACTTGTGCCTAGGAAAGCAGCACGGCACAGCCCATTAGCAGCTATCTGGACTAGAATAGCCTGGACTCAAACTGGTGCCCATGAGATGCCAGCACAGCAGGGTTCACCTACTATGCCAGAGCACAAGCCCCTCAAGTTAATTTTTAATGTCACTAGAGACTCTAGGAAAAAGTGAAAGTAAGGGCTAATGATGGCCCAGTGGCTAAATGCTGGCCTTGCACATGCCATGATCACATATGGGCACTGGTTCATGTCCTGGCTGCTCCTCTTCTCTTCCAGCTCCCGGCTTGTGGCCTGGGAAAGCAGTAGACACTAGCCCAAAGCCTTGGGACCTTACATCCATGTGGGAGGTCCAGAAGAAGTTTCTGGCTTTGGATTGACTCAGCTCCAGCCATTGCAGCCATTTGTGGAGTAAACCAGTGAATGGAAGATCTTTATCTCTGAATCTCCTTCTTTCTGTATATCTGCCTTTCCAATAAAAATAAGTCTTTAGGAAAAAGTGAAAGCAAATACTTTTACACCGAGTGAATGAGACTACAAAGACAACTTTTCTAGAAGATATTTTGGCTACACAGTAAAAACAGTAAAATATCCATACTTAATGGCCCAGAAATTCCATGTTTGAGAATTAAATCTCAAGAAATAACTTGGAATTCAGATGCTACACAAGTCAACTTTTTTTTTTACATATTCCAACAACATGTAAGCAGTCTGAAATGTTTATCAATGGTAGCAAATTGCATTGTAAACAAACATTAAATTGTTAATGTTTAAATTGGCTTAACATTGCCTAAGTTGCTAAGAAGTTAAATATATACACAAAATAGAGAAAGATTTTCTGAGTAAAAGTTTTTAAAACTATGGGTCATGAGATAAATTCAGGTGCTTGAAATAAAATGGAGCTGATACTGTGGTACAGATTAGCTGCAGTCTGTAGCAATGGAATCCCACATGGGTGCTGGTTCCAGCCCTGGCTTCTCCATTTCCTACCCAGGGTTCCTTTTTCATGGGAAATGACTGAAGTGCTTGGGCCCCTGCATCCACATGGGAGACCCAGAAAAAGCTGCTGGCTTCAACCTGGTTCAGCCCTTGTCATAGCTGCCCTTTAGAGAATAAATCAGTTAGTGAAAAATCTGTCTCTCCCTCTCCGTAAACCTCGCATTTCAAATAAAATAAATAAATCTTAAAGTCAACTGAATTTAACTCAAAGTATTAAAGGTACTGCTCTTAGTAAATGTTTTAAGTATTGTTATATGAATTGTATTTCTTGAGTAAATGCATGCGTCACAGAGTTATGATACTTTTAAAATTTGTAAAACAAAATCCGTGAAGCAGTTCCAAGAGCTCCCATATAATGAAGCATCTTCATATAGGTAAGGAGGTATTTAAGGCAAAGGAGATAAGCTGATCTCATCAATTCATCCCTGCCACCTCACTTACCCCACAAAAGCCCACTCCTGCTCCCCTTTGATATAACAAAAAATCCAGCATTTGTGCAAGACTGCTGTTTAGTGGTGTTGCCAGAGAATAACCAACATGGATGCAGAATGTGTTCTTACGATGACCTATCAACTACTACACTAAGATGAATGCAGCTGATATTCCTATGCATCATAATGTGCCTTATATCATGACATGGTACTCATAAACAACTCCCAAAAAAAGTTTCCTTATGAGTAGCTTGGTACCAATCCCTATGACAGGATGGCCCCAAACTTTATTGGACACAGCTCATGCTGGCTCAGCAACAAAATGCATTTTTGCTTTGAAGATAAACCTCATTCCTCCAATGTATCCCATTTGTGTCTCATCTTTGAATTGCTTCCTGCATAAGACCAAAGAACCCATGACACCTGTGGTGAGCCAGCCAGGAAGGGGAAGCCTACCCATGAGTCAGCCAGAGAGTCTTTGTCAATTCTCTCCTTCCCTGTAACTGGAGTTTTGGTTTTGCTCTGTCATTCTCTCCCTCTTCACTCCATTCTGACCCACCATAGACTAATTTCTCCAACTAGGGCTGCTCCTCCCAGTGACTGTTGGAGTGGGTAGGCCAAGAGTAGACATCATGCAGACTGGACACTTGCAAAAGTATATATGAGTAGCTGGAACCTGCTTCCCTACCACACAATCACTGAAGCTTTATTTTTACTACCAGATAGCCAGGGGCATTCTTTATTGTCTGATTTCTCTTTGGCTTATGCCTTCTGAGCATTTTTGCTCCTTCAAGATGAGTGATTGCCCTGATGCGATCACCCTAACCCAAGAATAAGTCTCTGCTTAGGTCTGGAAGATATATTCTGTCACTCTGATCCATTAGAACCCTTGCTGTCTCTAGAAAACTCTTTAGCATATGACCACTGCCTTGTTCCTAGTACCAACCCCTAAAAGACACAAACCCACTCAATTACTCCTGGGCTCAACTTCCTGATTTTTGTTAAAGAGTGTTTTCATCTCCCATATCCATAGCATTGTTTAGAATGAGATTGATGGGTTTTCTAAAGAATATTCCATAGAAAAGTTTCTCCATTTTTTTTTTCAAAGAAGAGATCCTTCATCCCTCTTTAATGGAAAACTTCCAGGATTATTATAACAGTCCCATCAAACCACTATAGGCAGGTCCAACCCTGTGTGTGAGTCTGTGTGTGTGTGTGTGTGTTGTGTGTACATGATGTACATATATACATACACACACATATATATACACCTCAGAATGCCCCAAGGGCCTCAGCCATCTTGGCAAGACGAAGGATCCCTGAAACACTGCAGATAATACTCAAGATTATGGGATAGCAAGTCTGGAAAGGTCTACATAGGATACCAACAGACATAGTCAAGATCCTGGGATGCCTGACCTGACCTAGATGACTGACACTCTCTCCTAGATTTATTCTTTTCAATCTTTTCCTTTTCTTCTCAGACCATGAAGGCATTTTCAACTCTTCATCCATTCCCACAAACTTACCCTTTTAAAGGCGCCATTCTTAAAACTTGGGAAACCTTTAAGGAAGTATTATTTTTAAAGAACATGTAATTTTCTCTTGCAACAATCTGGCCACAAAATTAGCTAGAAAATGCAGAAATGTGGCTTCTAAACAGGATCCTCAACTGTAACATGATCTTCCAATTTGATCTCTTCTGGAAGGCAAAAATGATCAGAAATTCCTAATGTTTATGCCTTCATGGCATTCTTTCAAAACTCCATCTTTAGGGGGAGCTATAGGCTCTAACATGCCATTCCTTCTGAAGTGCTCCAGATTTAAAATAACAATAGATAACCAATCCCTGAGAGGTCTTGCACCACTCAGGTCTCAACCACCTTGAGCTCAGCTTATCCCATTGTCTGGACCATCCTCTCCTTTCTCAAACAATTCTTGCACCTCTAGCCTACCACCTCTACCCTATAGCTTAACCTGTACCCCCGCACCAGAAGATAGACCAGTTACTTGGCAGTGAGGCTTCCTGTCATTGGATTCAAGTATGCTTTGTCCTTGGAGAGCTGGCTAACACATGACCATTATTGACTTAAGTCAAAGCCTGCACAAGTTAGAGACTCAGAGACTATGTTAAGTTTACTAAGGAACATTTTTTTTTTTTTACTTAACTTGGGGTTATTATACATTGGCCTGTCTACTTGTTACATCTTTGAAGAAAACCCACAAATCTGGGTCAAGACACACACCACCCAGCTCATGGCAGAGACTGGTTACAGACTAACCAGTATGACATGGGAAATGAGAATACCCCACAAATGGGACCCCAACTGAAATCAGTAGCAGGATCGTGAATAGTTAGGCACTTAAACCATATGGTGATTTTTCTAGTGGTTGAAACCAAAAATACTGTAAAACCCATGATTATGGTAAAAATCAGGGAGATAACAAGGAAATTCAGCCACTCCAAGGACAAATAGTAGGGTCTGTGTTAACATGGGTTTTTAAGGCTTCTAACACTCACAAAGCATAGGTCTTACAGGTACTCATTCTATCAGTCAACACACTCCAGATATTCATAGCAAACTCTAGAAACTGACAAATGGATATTCAACCTCCTACAAACAAGAGTGTAGATATAGTATTTTGGGATATTTTACTACTATGGACAAATCTGAAGGTAAAAAAAAGACTTTGATGACAATAGTGTACACGACAGATTTCACTGTAATTAGCACTACTACTACAGGACCAACTCAGGGAGTGCCCAACCTTTAGCGAAAAGCCCTGAGAATGTGTTTTTTATATGGGAAACTGGAATACTGCTACAAGGAATATTCCAACTTGGAAAGTTTCTGGTTCTTGTCCCCATTGTAAATGAGAAAGACACTGGAAATAGGATTGCCTTCATCTCCAAAGGGAGGACTTCCAGTTCCTTCATCCCCTTCTCTAAGAATCAGAGGGGCACAGGAATCCAGGAGGCTCCTCCAACCTTCATGACCATCCTACTTCCAAAGCCCCAGGCAACCCTGAGTTTTGCAGGTAAGAGCATTTGTTTTCTGACACAGAAGAGGAGTCTCCATGTGGACTCCCTATCTTCAAAGGGTTGCCTCATCATGGGAGGTTGATTTTGCTCCTACCTTTCCAGATAGAAGATGTTCTCATCTTCTCCCAGTGTTTCATTAGTGCCAGAATTCCACACTCCTTCACTCAGCAGGTATCTGTCCTCCGTGGCTATTTCTCAGACTATTTGTTCCTGTATCTGTTTATTGGATGCTGGTGAACACTAAGACCCAACTTGGAATCCTCTCTACTGGGCTCTACTAGAATCCAAAAGAGTCAGTCCCAGATGGGTTGTGTATATACCTCATCTGTCCTCCTAAAACGCAGCATGAAGAAACCTTAACACCAATACACCTTAAGAAGCTAGAAAGGGATGACAACCTTTGATATAGTTCCCATTCATGGAGTACCGAAACCATGTTAATCCTTCAATTCAAGTGAAACAGTTCAGGACCACAAGGCATAATGAGATTTCTACTATACTTCATCCAGTGTATCAAATTACTCTACTATCCTAGCCCAGACACCTAAAAAATACCCTCAGGTCATAGAACTAGACCTAAAAGATGTCTTCCCTATAAATTTACAACCAGAAAGCCAGTATGTATTAACCTTTGAACACCTAGACAATTTTTCTGCAAGGTTTTAGGGATAACTAATTTGACAAGGCTCTTTTCAGAGAACCTTAGCAACAGCTCAAGTATTAAAGCCATCAATTTTATGTAGGTATCTTCATCAGCAAACCCTTAAGGCGGATTGGATGATGACACTATTGAGTTCTAAACTTTGAAGGAAACATAGGTATAAAAGTTTCCACAACTAGAGCAGAGATCTCTAAAGGGGCAGCCTATCTCAAATATATCCTGACCGCAGGTAACTACCACCTTACCTACTTAAGCAAAATAATGTAGCGTTACAGTTCCTTCCACAGCACCCTCTCCCCATTAAAAAAAAAAAAAAGCCCTGACACTGTGACACTGCTAATAAAATGCTTCTGCAGGATTAGAGTTAGGAAATTTTCAGTAATAGCCAAACCCCTGTGAGGCCTTGAAGGGTCCTGATGGCTGATCTACTTGAATTGACAGGGAATCCCAAATGCCTTTCAGATTAGTGATTCACTGATAACAGCCCCTGCACCATGGATTTCTAATTTAGACAAGCCTTTCCATCACCCTATTCACAGCTGAAAGGAATATCTCCACCCAGATGGAGTAGGGTTTGGGCAGCCTTTTAGCTTGACAATAAATCCACTGCCTCCAACACCAGCACCCCACGTGAGCACTGGTTTATATTCTGGTTGCTCCACTAATGACTCACCTCTCGGCCAATGACCTGGGAAAAACAGTACAACCCAATTGCTTGGGCCTCTACCACCTATGCGAGACACTTAGAAGAAGCTCCCAGCTCCTAGCTTTGGTGGGCATTTGGGAAGTGAACCAGCAAATAAATGAAATAGAGAAAGCAGACAAAGAGAAAAATCAAGCTCAGGACAAATTTGTCCCCTTGACTCAAATCTTAAAATTAGGGAATGTCCTCATTTACACATACTCCAAATACTGATTTTTAAACCCCAGCCTACCCCTCCAAATACTCTATTGCACAGAGAACACACAAGAGAGCATGCGAGGGAGCACACAGCTTGGACAGACTGCCAAAGGCTTCCTCATGACCCACAGTTCTCCTCCAGACAGAGTTGGTGCCTCCTGAGGTGGTTCTCACTCTGCATGGACTGCTGAAGGGAATAGCCATACCAGAGGAGATGCATCAGCAGGTGAAGAAGTCAACAAGACTGCCACCCAGGAGTTCCAGCATATTGAGGCAGCTGGAAGATCCTTCTACACCATGACTGAGACAGAATGGACCCAGCACCACAGAGAGCCTTGACTTGGCCATCTCATGACATAGATAAAGACTTCTCTCATGTCAGCTCTTTAGCCTTTTACAAATAGTCTAAATTTTTCATAAAGAGAAATTTTTATTGACAAATACAGAAAAGCCAACTAATCCTACTATTTAAGAAATGTAGGTGAGAGGAAAGCTGTGTCACCAGTTACATTCTAAAGCAGAATCATGAAAGATGGTGCAGATCCCAAGAACTCAACCAAGAATGGGCCAGTGTTGTAGCACAGTGCATTAAGTCTTCACTTGCAATGCTGGCATCCCATGTGAGCACCGGTTCAACTCCTGGTTGTTCAATTTCCAATCCAACTCCTTGCTCATATGCATGGGAAAACAGAAGATAGCCCAAGTGCTTGGGCCCCTGCCACCTGGACTGAGTTCCTGCCTCTTGGCTTCAATCCTGGCCCAATCCTGGCCACTACAGCCACTTGAGAAGTGTACCAGTAGATATAAAATCCATTTCTCCTTTATAATTCTGCCTCTGCCTTTCAAATAAATAATCAAAATTGAAAAAAAAATGATCAGCCAAGATGTAACAAATAAAGGGTATAGATATGGGGGAGACATACAGAAAGTTTTGCCAAAACATAAACATTATATATATATAAAACAAAAACATAAATATATATATATATATATTTGTAGTTTCCTTCCTTCTATGTTGTTTCTTTTATGTAGTGTTATTTTTAGATTTGCAACAGCAAATGACACAAAGAACTGAACACACTTGACCTGATAGATACTCTTCGGATTGCTGACTTTAGGAATGATCTGAGGTTCCCTGCTAGAACCTTCTTCATCAGAGGAAGTGCTGGAGGAGTAGTCAAAAGTGGCTCTATTCACAGCAGAAGTGATCTGTTGAGAGACCTCCCATTCCTCCCATCTGTCTTTAAAAGAAGCAATAGTAAATGGATGGCTTTTCTCACCATACCTAAATAGAAAGAGAAATTACTTGTTAAGGATTCAATGTTCCATTAATCGTACCCCTATTCTCTGCAGACTACACACTACTTTTTTTTCCCACATTTTATTTGAAAAACAATTCTCACTCCTCAAATACCATAGCAAGCTGAGCCAAGAGGCATAAACTCTTCCTGAGTCTCCCATGTGTTTAACAGGGACCAAACAATTTGAATCATCTGGGTTCTCTCTCCCCTCCCCTCTTTGTTCCTCTCTGCTATCCCTCTCCCCTCTCCCATCCCCCCGACACACAATCTGTATTAACAAACAGCTACAATTAGCAGAACCAGGACTCAAAGCGAGGCACTGTGATACTGTTTTTAAGGGATAGATCTAGGGTTGATGGTGTGGTAATAAAAAAAAAAAAACACATTAAACTACCTCTTGTGTCAAAGGCATCCCACCAAGCACCTATTCCAGCCTCCAGCACCTCACTTCTGATTCGCTGCCTATTTACATGCCTAGGAAAGCAGAAGATGACCCAAGTACTAGGGCCTCCAACCACCTGCATGACTGCATGGCAGACCCAGGTGGAATCCTAGGCTCCTGGTTTCAGCCTGAACCAGCCCCAGTTTGAAGCAACAAAGAATGAACCGATAAAATAAAAGATCTGTTTATCCCTCTATTTCTCTCACTTTGTGAAACAAACAGTTTTTAAAAACAGGTCTAAGGAAAACCCAAGTTGAAGGACATCCCTGCCTTCAGCTGTAACACTGTTGTAATAGGATATTCTGTATGAGCTATTTTCATGAATCAGAAACCACCAAGGCTAGTTTCTATTCAGCTAATGGACTAAATTACCTTCATGGTAGAAAAAGGCATTATGAGGTATGAAGAGTTAACACTTAGATATCTACAGTCTGCACCAGAATACAGGGTTTCAAAGTCACTTCAAGTTTACATTTACATCTTCATCAGTGCCCCCCTTTGTTAACCTGAGACTTTGGAGCCTCATCCTTAGAATCATCTAAAGTTTCCAAGGATCACAGAGCATACAAAGTAAGAGCTCACTCACCTACAGCACACTTCAAAGGGATCTACCCATATGGTCATCTCCTTTGGAAGGCCCAGGTGAGAAAAGTCTACATTACTCTCAGCACAAGCCCTTTCTAAAATGGGGTCTTTCTTCTGATTATTGTTTATCCTGATACACCTTTGCGGGAAGGGTGGAAGAGGGGAGGAGGAGAGAAAAAGAAATGAAAATGTGAGGACAAGTGCTTTGCCAGGAGAATCATGTTGTGGTACAGTGCTCTCCTATACACTGTCTTCAACCATCACCCACACCCTACACTCCTATGAATTAAAAAAAAACATTTTTTAACATAATGATCAATTTAGAGTGATCACTAAATCACAGGTCACCAGAAATTCACTCTTAGCTTTTTATAGTAAATACAAGTTAAAGACTGCTTAATCTACTTTACACATGGAGGTTCACTTTATGGTTTCTGACTACACATTCCCTCCATTACTTAAAGATGGACAATCAGATCACTGCATTCTCCTAACAAGTGGTAACTGCTTGCTGGTTATGTCTCTGGGCTATAACACACACTGGCTCTCAGCCGGTGCTAATTGCTTGCTGGTTAAATCCCAGTGCTACAATAGCTCCCACCTGAAGCCTTGCCCTTTAGAAGGGCAATCAGCATGCCAATGACTTCTGTATGTTTCAACCAGGATAGTCGTCAGCTTTTCTGAGAAATCTTCTATTTGTTGCTTACTCAGTTTATCATGTTTTTTCACCAGTTTTGTGAGGAAGAAAACTGTTGTTGCAATTTCATCTCTCATGATTGAGAAAAATTTAAAAGGAGATCTGAAAAATATTGAGAAGAAATTACATACAAATTTTACTGACAATGCATTATTGCCATCTGGAAGTTTTATATGCCTTAAAACAAGTCATCTGTTTGGAAAAGTGCTCGGTAAACTGAAATGCACATCAAGAACACCAAAGAATGAAACAACTAAGAATACCAATTCGTCAAATAACCAATTTTAAGCCTGCTAATAAAAAAAGAACTCTTGCACACACTTAAACAACTGAAAATTATGCAGCTCAAGTGAAATAAAATCCTAACAGACAGTAAACTATACCAAGCACTGTTTTTAAAACAACACATTTACCAAGAGCAAAATGTTGCAGAAGGCAGTAGTTCTAAAATGTGCTCACAAGTTGCACATGTTAACATCAAACATATCATACTTGCCAGCAAAAGCTCTTCAGCCCCAACAAAATGTGGGCCCGAGTTAGAAGATCAACTGTACCCTACTTCGTGTTTCCAGGTCTGACCCACACCTAGCTTGGGAGGGCGAGGCTTGCACTTATGTAAGCTCCAGTCCTCATGGCTGATTGGTGCATCACCTGCCACAGGTGTTATCTACTAGAAAAAGCAGATACAGCTTTAACAGGTCTCCATTAGATTGCTCCTTGGGATATTTAGTGCTAAATGCTAATATATTTTACATATTGGGCTTGGCACCATAGCCTAGGGGTTGAAGTCCTCATCTTGCATGTGCTGGGATCCCATATGGGTGCAGGCTTGGGTCCCGGCTGCTTCACTTCCCATTCAGCTCCCTGCTTGTGACCTGAGAAAGCAGTAGAGGACGGCCCAAGTCCTTTGGACCCTGCACCTGCGTGGGAGACCCAGAAGAGGCTCCGGGCTCCTAGCTTCAGATCAGCCCAGTTGCAGCCCTCTGGGGAGTGAACCAGTAGACAAGAGGTCTTCCTCTCTATCTCTCCTTCTCTCTGTTAATCTGACATTTCAATAAAAGTAAATCAATCTTTTAAAAAATTTACATATTTTCAGACAGGGTTTAAATCACCTATTTTGCTATCTAAACCTTTTTTAATGACAGTGAGAAGGAAACTTTGTCTACACACTAATATCCTACATTTCAGTAATTTTGCCACTAATTCTGTCAATACATTGATTGTCGGATGTTTTATGAAACTTGTTAAAATAACTTCTCTCTTTGAAGTTATGTTGTATATACACATGGAGCTTTTACTAAAATGCTTATCTGTGGAGAAAAGAAAAGAGATCAGAGTTTTAACCTGAAAGATCGGAGAGCTGGTCTCACTAATTCTTTAAGAGTGGGTCAGTGACCGAATCCATATGTAGATTATTCTTTAATATTTCTCTTAATTTTATTAGAAAGTCAGATATACAGAGAGGAGGAAAGACAGAGAGGAAGATATTCCATCTGCTGATTCACTCCCCAAGTGGCACAGCGGCCGGTGCTGTGTTGATCAGAACCCAGGAGCCAGGAGCTTCTTCCAGGTCTCCCATGTGGGTTGCAGCGTCCTAAGGCCTTGGCCATCCTCGACTGCTTTTCCAGGCCTCAAGCAGGGAGTTGGACGGAAAGCAGGGTCACCAGGATTAGAACCAGTGTCCATATGGGATCCCAGCATGTGCAAGGTAAAGACTTTAGCCTCTAGGTTACCATGCCCAGCCCCCAAACGTAAATTCTTACACTTTACTCCATATCTGCTCATGCAGTTCTCAAGATAAGGTCTGGGAGTCAGTGTTTGACAAGTTCCCACAAGTGCTTTTATTTTTTTTTTAAGCTGAGTATATTGTTCTTTTAGTATGATTTGCAATTTTACAACTATTTGAAATGACACAGTTTTTAAAATTATTTTTAATTGAGTCATAATAATTACAGTACTTATGAGGTGTAGTGTAAATCAATACATGTATACAATCTGCAGTAGACAAATCAGGGTAATTAGCTTTTCATCTCGTTAAATGGTTCTCTTTTTCCCCCAGGAAACTCTTATATCTACTAAATTTAAGAGCCATCACACCTGACATAATTAAGTCTCCATATTCTGTTTCTTGAGCACTGAAAAGAATTCACTTTCCTCCAAGGAAAGCCATTTCGTGTCTAAAATTCCCCAAGTACTAATTACTGCTTTTTTCCACCTGTGAGCCAAATCGACCTCTTTGATTTTCTCTGTGTGTATGAAGCCTCATTTTCCCCTCTGGAATTATACAGATTGCACTGAATCTTCCACCATAGAATGATGTTCGAAATATTAGATATTCAGCCTCCCCTGGGTCTTCCCTTTTGGGAGACTAAATGTTCTCAGCTTTCTAACTGTTCTTCCTGTGGTCGTTACTCGGTTCATGCACTGAGGACTCACACCACCTGAGTTTCAGGTATGTCAGTAATCACGTATGGGGCCACACATGAACACAACTCTTCAGTTGAGCTGATCTTTGGAATCAGACAGACCTGGGAGTGAACTGCAACTTCACAGTTGAGCTGCTTGAAGACAAGCATGGTACAATCCCTCCTTCTCTCTGAATGTCAAATTCTAGGACACCGCCTCACGTGACATTCACCGTGTTATCCGTGGCATCACATCACTGCTGCAGGCTGAACTTGCAAGAACTTTTTCACTAATGCTATTGTTCAGTCATGATTTCCCTTTCCTGCACAGTGTAATGCTAACGACTGTGGCCTTTGGGTGCAGTCACTGTGGTTCCACGTGCTAATCCTACAGCTTAAGCACCAGCATCCCATATGGGCACGTGTTCATGTCCCAGTGGCCACACTTCCAACCCAGCTTCCTGCTATAGCCTGGAAAAGCAGAGAAGGATGGTCAAGGTCCTTGGGCCCCTGCACCCACATGGGAGACCTGGAAGAAGCTCTTGGCTCCTGACTTAGGATCAACTCAGCTCCGGTTGTTGCAGCCATTTGGGGAGTGAACCAGTAGACGGAAGGTATCTCTCTCTCTCTCTCCTCCTCTCTGTAAATCTGCCTTTCAAATAAAAATAAATGAATCTTTGGAATCAGACAGACCTGGGAGTGAACTGCAACTTCACAATTCATTATCTGTGTTACCTGAGGCAATTTGCCCAACCTGCTCTCTCGAATTCTCACATTCCTAACTATATCTCGTATATTTTGGCTTCCTGTCATCTATAGATTTGATTTTAAAAAACCACTGATGTCCTCTAATCAAACAATTAGTAAAGAAACATGCTAAGTAGGATAAACATTAAAGCAAAAGCTTTGACAAAACCCTAGATCTTACTTGAGATCAGTGTCCTTTAGTAGTCACTTAGACTTCAATCAACTAATTTTATTATATCCTGGAAAGGTAATCAATAATGGAAAAATATTTCACCAATTACCATCCTGAAAGATGCATACAACACTGAAATAATCTACCAACAGTAACTCCATGATCAAAGACAGTTTAACCCAAAATGCTTTGTTCTTCAATAGTCCAATTTATTCTAAGTAATCCCAACTTCCATAACATTCATAAACATCTGTTTGCTAAGACAGATGTGATTTTAATCCTGCACTGATTTTGACAATAAGTAATTTTGGTAATAAGTAATAAGGCAAATCCTAACTCAGTAGCTAATCAGCTAATTAGCATATTTGCCCTATTACTTCTCCAAAAAAAGAATTACAGTGTGTAACCATCTCTAATTTTAAAACATTAATTCATAAAATATTCATCTCAGAAGAACCTAATGTAAGTATATAGTTTCACTACTCATCTAATTTGTTGAAAGGTTAGTTTAAAAAACAGTTTAAAACAATGTGCAAATTAATATGGATTAAATTGAAGACAAGCATGGTACAATCCCTCTCCTCTGTAACTCTGACTTTCAAATAAATAAATTCTTACTGAACAATAAGCTTGAAAATACATTCAGTTTCCACATAGCAACAAGTCAAATTATATAAACATTTATTATGTGAATTTAGTATTTCTCATCAGAACAGAACAGGTTAATCTAGTATTTATTGTCTAAGAGTTTCAAACAACATCATCTAAGAGTAGAATCAGACCAGCTTTGTTTTTGTAAAATTAATTCAAGTAAAAAATTATTGTATTAATATAGTATAAGCTACTATTATGTATAAAGCTAGCACTCATTCATGAGGTCTCAAACCCAAAGATACCTGTGATCTGAATCCCATAGTTCAAATCTGTTTCTCAACTACCAATTGCTTCCATAAAACAAAGTCAAGGTGCCTAAATTAGAATTAAGAGTATTTTTCTGGCCCAGCATGGTACTTTAGTGGTTAAAGATCACCTTGAATGTGCAAGGATCGCATATGGGCGCTGGTTTGTGGCACTGCCCATCCAACTCCCTGCTTGTGGCCTGGGAAAGCAGTCGAGGATGGCCCAAAGCCATGGGGCGCTGCAACCCACATGGGAGACCTGGAAGAAGCTCCTGGCTCCTGGCTTCGGAATGGCTCAGCTCCAGCCATTGTGGCTGCTTGGGGAGTGAACCATCAGATGGAAGATCTTCCTCTCTGTCTCTCCTCCTCTTTAAATCTGACTGTCCAATAAAAATAAATAAATCTTAAAGAAAAAGTGAGTATTTTTCTGCCTTTCCTATGATTATAAGCAAATTAACTTACTGTGTATCTGTTTTTATAGAACTCTGCCTCAATTGCTCAGAAGTCTCTGCCACAAAAAATAAAAAGGAGATAAACTGGGAAGTCTGCGTGAGATGAGTAAGTATATAACATATTACAGAACATAAAAACATGACTTCTGCTTAGAATGTCCCAATGAATGGGAAAATCTAATTTTTTAATTTTTAGGGTCTACTCTGCTTACAATCTACAAACAAGATAAAAAATCACATCTAGTTGCGACATAAATGTTCAGATCACTGTAGAAAACATTGGAATATACTCAAACACCTCTCTAAGCATTTACCTTTCTAAAGTCATTCTGAGGGCCCAGCACTGTGGCCTAGCAGCTAAAGTCCTCATCCTGAACTGCCAGAATCCCATATGGGTGCAGG